AAAGCACGTCCAACAACAAACCAGTCTTTGGATTGATTTATCATCGACAAAGCAAATCCTTATAATTATCACATGTTTATCATTACAAATGTGTATGCAATTCGGCCAAATATTAATCTTCCTTTGGGCCGACTAATACTCGCATGAATATACACAAACACTAACATTCAATATTTTTCATGAACTGCCCAATTCAAGAGAAGTTACTTTGGTGACTTCTTGACTCAATTTGCTCACAAAAAATATTAAACTACCAAAAATTGAATATTTTATTTATATAACAAAACCAAATATTTAATATTTACAAACTAATTCAAAAGAGAATCACCTCATTATAATTCTACTAAGGATGAACACCTCCCTAGAATCTCATTAGGGATGAACACCTCATTTGAACAAATCAAAGGATGAAAAAAGGCCTCATTTTCCACCAATACATAAAGGATGAACATCTTCCTAAAATCACACTAGGGATGAAACAGAGATAGTTTTGAGTCTCTAACCCTAAAAGGGAATTAAGCAGTAATCACTCAGACCCTAATTTAACATCAAATTTTCCTTAAATTCCTAGGGGATAGAGGCAATAAAATAATAACAGTCAAACATGTGGAAACATTCATCATTTATCTAAGATTCTCTGTGTTGGGAACTCCACAAACACCACCCCCAATTCCAAACCCATAAAATTAAATAAAAACAAAAGATTCAAAAAAGAACAGAGAACCCAATACAAGAAAAATTGAAATATGAAACACTGTTTCTTTCTCAGTAAAACTTGAAACTTAAACTGAAACAAAAGTGAAAAACGAAGAAGAAGAAGAATCCATAGCTTCCTCCACGGTTCCATCAGCAAGCAGAATCAGATTGGGGATGTTACCCCCAAATTTAAATTTTAGGGTTCACAAAAATTAGAGATTATCCTCCACTTAGGGTTCATAAAATTGGGTAATCTGAATTGTTTAAAACAAAATTAATCCTAATTTTCATAATTAGGGTTCTATAAATTAAACGAGACATGAATCAAATATGGGCGGCTCGATACCAATTGTTGGAAAAACAATAACAATAATAATAATCCTGATTTTGATTCTAACAATCAAACATAAACATAATCTCATACTGATAAACATGTTGTAAGCCGAATGCGAAAGCGTACTCGAATTAGCCATAACGATGATGTCTTTGTAGAGCACTATATTGATCTTATGGTCTTCCACCTGAAGAGCACCTGTATTTCCCTCTTGATTTTCTCTCTTGATGGGGATAGAAAGAAAGGAACGGGACTGATACTTACGTTCTGTGTGTGTGCTCTCAGAAGGGGACCATGACCCTTTAGATAACCAGAATTAGGTTAATTACTTAAGTTTTAATATTTCCAATTTGGCCCCTCATCAAATTAGAAATTGCTCTATGATCTCTACACAATTTTATTTTCATGACATATGCCTTTAGCCAAAACTTTAATTTAGTTAGATCACTTTATTATTTGGCTTAATAAATAATGACCCTAACACATTTAAATATGTATCATATATATACATGACCCAAAATTTGCCAACATTGTAAACCCAATTGATCAAAAGGTATTTTAAACAAAGAAATAGATAAAGAAAAGGAAAAATAAATGAAAAAATAATAAAAAAACAACAATGAAATAACCGATTAAGACTTGAGTTCATTATCCTTGTTTTAAGAAGAACAAAAAAATGTTAAATATTCGAGAGGGATACAACATTAGGCCAATATTCCCTATAGGACACAAGGTAGCATATAATAAAACATAATTATACCTTCAATTCAAAATATTAAGACAATAAGACTGTGTGTCTCTTTTACTAAATTACTCAGCTTTTTAATTTCTACTTAATTTGGGGTTCTAACTCACACTCGAATTATAACATAAAAGATATAATGTTATAATTATAGAAACTCATCACTTTGTACATTTGAGTGTAAGTTTAATTGTGGTAATGACGAAAAGAATGATAATACAATAATTGCTTAAGGAGAGGAGATTGGAGAAGATCAAGTATTGTTCATGGTCATAACAAAATATGAGCATGACAGAGTACTTATCGGTATCTTGATATTAGGTGTTCCTATCATATAACTAAACACAAAGAGTGATTCTTAAGTCTTGATGAAACTCAAAAAGAAAAGTGAAATTCACAAATTATAGTTTCATTTACTCTAAGGGAATAGGAAATTATTATGATTTAGAAGAAATATGAAAAATATCCATACAGTTTCAATGTATTGTGTGCCCTGAGATGAAGAGTAACTTGTTAAGACTTGGTCAATTGCTGAAAAAAGGTTATGTTTGGAGTTTTAAGATATGAGTACGTGTATTTTTTTTATATAAAAGGTATATGGGATATAATGATAATATCAGGAACATATAAGACATCAAAAATTAATTTGACACTTAAATACATTTTAATTGTAATTGTTCTCATATCATTCATATTCATTTATTCTCCGTTATCAATTCTTACTTTAGAAATATCATATTCATTCAATTCTTTGAAAAGTTATCAATCATGAGTCATGTGGTTTGTATAACCACTATTTATAAATCAATATATTATTGATTGGAGAGCATGTTATTACAAGGAGAAGTATCATTTTTACTTCGTCCTTGATAATCTTGACAACTTCTTATTACGATTTGCATATCTTTTCTGCATGTGTCAATTGACCACTTTTATATATGGTCTCCACTACTTGTTATGTGGGTGATTATTTTTCTTGCAATAGAAACAAATAAAAAAAACATATGATTTGTTACCTTTCTTGTTCTTGACTTGAAGGGAGCCTTTAATATGATATAGTAAAAAACCTTTAACATGATCTCCTTTTATTAATTTTTGTTGTTTTTGCACAAGCACACTTGCACCAAAGTAATCTTAAACAAGATCTTTTGTATTTTTCAACTAAGCAATAAATACTTCATATCTCTCTAACAAAGTTACCAAAATTTTCTCAATTAGTCAAAAGTTAAGAAATTCTTTACCTAGAAATTTTATTTTGTTAACAATACAAAACAATTTGCTTAAGTGTTCCTTGATTTTCTAAAACCTTTTCTTTCTTTCTATTTCAAATTTTCTTATCAAGTTTAAAATTTTAATACCTTGAATCTCCATTCCCTTCATATTCTTCTTTTAAATAATCTATAATTTCTTTGTGTAACTTTAGGATTATGATTCGGTAAGGATTATTTGTGAAACAATAGTAAACAAACATGACTTCATTGTTGTTTCCTTCTAAATTTTGATTTGTACCATTATGAGATTTTCAGGCAAGAGATCAACTGTATAACCATATTCTACAGTTTCCCATAAATCTAATCCCTAAAATTGCATTCTTAATAAAATCTAATCTACGAAATTATTTGATCTATGGACAACATCATTGTGATAAAGGTTGTAATGCCAGGAATAATTATTGTAAGTATAGAGGAGGAGGTCATCAGCGCCTATACTGTAAAATTGATTTTCGATAAAATGAAAAAACATATATGGTAGAATCGTAGCCATAAAATATTACCCTAATTGAAATGCATCCATTTGTCTCGTACACTATGGGATGGTGAGAAAAAATATATTTTACACCCTAAAGGGGTAGCCTAAAGGTCTAAGTTTATTGACTTGTAAAAAAATTATTTTTTCTTTCATTTTCATTTTATAGGTCTAGTAAGAATAAAAGCTTTGGTGTCACTGTTGGGAATTTTAGGATTTTGATTACGTGTATTTTTTATATAAGAGATAAATGAAACATATGATATGGTGGAACTTCTCACTTTCACTCTATATGTGTTTTATTTATCTACTTTATGTATATATAGAGTAAAAGTGTAACACAATATCAAATATTAATAATATTATAATTATAACTATATAAATTAAAATAATAATATAACATATTTTTCTCTTATTCTAAAACTTAATACAAATCTTTTAATACTTAATTTAAATAAAAAGATAATAAAGTTTATATTCCCAACAAATTAATATTAAAAACTTTATTATCTAATCGTAGAACTTGCAATATTAAATTTAGGTAATGGATGTTATCGCTTGATGTCTAAAATTACTCATCAAAATTAAAATTAACAACAATGGTATATAAAATTAAAATTTTGATTGGAGTGTCTACTGTTAATCCTTAATTAGTTATCCATGTTTTTACAAGTAAGCAAACTTACCAAATTAATAAAATCACTTGAGTTAGTATATCTCATTAATAAAATCACTTGAGTTAGTATATTGAGATGTGTGTGATCCTTCTAAGATAACCTCATTAGGTGGCATATATGATTTTACAAGGCTAAAATTTATCTTTCTTTTTTTAGAAGACAATTCCAATGTGTGAATATATTATTGTAATAAAGAGGGATTAATTCATGAAAATATAGTTTGAGTTTTCCATTGAATAAAAATAAAAAAGATGAATAAATGAAAAAAAAACACACACACACAAACCTACTATTTTTGGTTGAAAGTGAAATTCTATCCTCTTATATGATTACTTTGTAAGACCTAGTGATAACCCTTTAAAAAATGTAATCTATTATAGTTTTGTCTCCCGGCTAAGTAAGTATACACATGCTAGTACGGGTTATCTGTGTGTTAATTCTACTGCATACTGTATCTTCAACGACAGTTTAACATGACTGATTTTTTTGATCAAAGATATAAGTTTAACAGTGATTCTAGTTACGCCATGTGAGCTGGTCAAGTTTAAATGAATGAAATATAACCTGATTTCTTCACAATTTATAACTGTAAACAATTAGGTACGAAATAAAATGTTAACACATAAATAGAAATCAAATGTTAATACAATACTTTTTCTCAAATACAAGCAAGACTATCAGAAATGTGGAGAAATTGACTTCTGCCTAGAAAAAGAATTGTAACTTAGTCAAGCCCTCATGACTGGAAAATACACCAATAAATGGATGGTTGATATATATATGTATATATGTCTATAGTATATACTTAAGGGTGATGTCCAACAGCTTTGCCACAAAGTAGAACATTATTGGGAATGTCATATTCATTAGCAAGGCTGTGTTGTGCATTCCACACCCTTAGGTAGAACTGCTGCCCAAGATACTGCCTTTCCCATATTGCAGACCTCAAATTCCACATGCCTTGGTTATCCAAAGACACCAATATGGCAGTCCAGGATTTTGGATACACCTACATTCATTTGAAGCATAAAAGCTATCTATGTCAGAAACAAACAAACAAACAGGTGGGTTTAAGTGCTTTCTTCTGAAGATAACTCAAAGCTACCTGTGCAGTGTGTCTAGTCAAGGCATCCACTAGATTGTAGGTTTTTCTACTGGCTTCTGTCCACTGCCCGAAATCATAACTGCAATTGCGGCAATGAACGTCACTAAAACTTTCTTAAGCTAATTATAAATTGCTTCTACCAGTGAAAATATTGATAGTTAGAAACAAAAGTTATATATATATCAAGGAAGTTGACATACCCAATGACCCAAAAGTCATAACCATCAAGATGCCAAGATTGCATGGTGTTTTCGTTGTTCTGGAATATGACCTCAATAAAATCATGGAGAGAAGTTGGCAGCACTGAGGTGCCAATGTATCCCGGACCATTAGAGGGACTGTTTTGGAGTAAATTCGCACTGAAGATTCCGGGAATGTTGAAGTAATCAGCAAGCTTGAGAGGGGTGTCAGGGTTAACATAAGAGACACTGTTAACAGCATAACGGAGCTTTCCATTGATTAAAGGTGCTGAATTGGCCAATTTAATTACTTTTGTAGGAGTAATCTTCCCATAATGGAATGACCCTTGGGGGTTAGGCCTAGCAGCATTTGCTGTCAGATTCCACCTGCAGGAATAATTAATTGAAAACTAATTAAAATCTATAAATAAATCAAAGCAAAACAGAAAGGATTCTTTTTAACTAATTTTTTAGTGACCAAACCTGTAGGTTCTAGCTTGCTTCATGGACCAGTCAAAGTCATATTTATCAACCGGGGGAGCAGGCACAGGTCCTAATGCAGAGGAAAAAGAATTTGAATAGTGCAGTACTGCAGTTGTAGTGAGAGGTGTCTCGGTAAATCTTGTTGAGGCAACAATGTAGTAGTCCTTTGGAGGCTGATTCAAGGTTACTAACAAAGAAACTGATTGGCCAACGTGCACATCAAGTGAATCGTATATGTTCTGAACAGTGTGTGATCCTTCAACTTCAACTAGTTTCAGGGTATGACCCTGAATTCTGAAATTAATTGAGGTTGACAAGCCTACATTCGAGATCCTAAACATATAGGTTTTTCCTGAAAGAAAAGAACAACTACTCTTAACATAAGCAATTTTAACAAAGCTGAGTGTATGGCTTAAACATAGCGCATATTTAAACTAAATCCATTAAAAATGGGCTTACCCTGGTTACCAGTGAAGGTAGAATGAGGCTGGCCATTAATGAGGAGGCCATCAGGAAGTGCAATTGATTTTCCAGAATCCAAAGTTTGCCTGAGTGTCTGCAAATACGAAGACAGAATGAATGTAGATAATTTGACAAGAAACACTAGTGATTTTAATTATCACTTAAATCTCAGATGTATGGAAGCAAACTTGTGAGTATGAATAATATTTGGAAGCAGTATGATTATGAGAAAGGGTGAGAGAGATCTTATTTACCTTGTGGTTGGTCTTGTACCAATCACCAATGAGTAAAGTAAAATCTCCATCAGGGTTTGGATAAGGGATTGGTATAACAGATCTGTGATAAACATTAAGTCCTCCAAACCCTCCTGCTGCTTTTTGCAGTAGAGTTGAAGGAAAGTACGTGTATGTGCCAATCTGATCCTTAGTCTGAAACTTGTATGTGTAATTTGAGTTTGGAGGAATGGGGCAGTTGGTTCCCAAAACTCCATCTTGCCATGAATTTTTCCTTTGTTTAATACCGTTCCTGTTACATATGACAACAATGTTAAACCATGTTCTCTGAAAAAAAAAAATCTCAAGATAACATAAAGAAAGACAAAATTTTAAATCTATATTCCTCGGTGTTTTGAAACAAGGTCAGAAATTTAAAGGTAAGAGAGATTAAAAACAAATATTCATAAAATATGACAGATATATAGAAAATCTAGTTGACAGCAGTGCAGCTCTTCTAGCTCTTTTAGGTAAATATGCCTTATCGTTCTACAAATCCAAGGATATTACCGTCAACACACAGAATATCATAAAAATATGGGAATGTAACTTTCACAAAGTTAAAAACGCTATTGCTGCAAAAAGTTGAAGCTATGCAGCCATACTTGTGGAAGTTAAACAATAAGTGTCCTATATAAAAATACACAATGACATCCTTCTTGTCCGAGTCCGTTCATCCAAAGTATTGAAATAATAACAAGATCCATCACAATTAAGCAGTTAGAGACCACAGATTCCCCTCAGGTTCAAGGGGACAAGTAAAAAGCCATAGAAAGGAAACAAAAGATGACATGTGCAAAGAAGGGAATATAATGCTGACCATAAAGCACAAAATTTGAGTTAAGCAAAAGGCACATAGAACCATACCAAGTGAGTAAAAATGGCTCGTCCAGCTTGTTGATAAGGTTGAGAATAACATTGTCATTAGTTACCAAGTCAAGTCTAGGTCCAGGAAACTGGCCATTGATAAGAATAACCTTCCAAAAAAAAGCAAGCACCAAAAAGGTCAGAACCAAAGTTCCAAAGATATCTCAGATCCAACAAAAACAGATTGGTTATCCACCTGCTGGGGACTACCCAGTGGAGAAAGAGTCCCATAAGTCACCGTCCATGTGTAAAACTTATATGCATCTTCTGCTTGCACAAGAGACACACATACTAAAGCAAGGACAAGGCATAGCAAATGCAGCAAACTAGTGCTTCCCATGCTGTCTACTGAAAATGACGAGAAAGAAACGCACCGTCACAACTTCACAGTTCAAACATTACTGAAGAGAAAATAAAAAGAATGCTGAAACATTATCCTTTAGTTTCTCCGAAAGGAAGCAATGTGGAAAGTACCAGATCTGGGTTCTGCAGGAAGAGTAACTCACTCCCAAGACTATCTTCCACCCACTAAGGTCTGTGCCGCCTTAATATATACCAAAAATATACTAAACAGAGTAGAAAAGCATGATTAAAGTAGCTAATTGAGTGTTATTTTAATAATAAAGTGATGATTTTGTTTGTTTTATAAGGTTGCAAATTGATCATTCATATTCGGCGCGGTTAACGCGTTTGCGCGTTAGTTACTAATTGCTTACAGCTAAAGAAAATTAAAATGCCATGCCTCCGAGGAATCATGCTCTGTCTATATTTATCACATTATTAAAAAATTAAACTTTGTTTCATCTCTCTTTTCCTGTGGTTGTTTTTCACTCGCAAACGTGTGGTGTGGGGTTGCATTTTCTCCATTAATCAGTTTTAACTTTGAACCCTAAACTCGGTACCTTCCAATACATAATAAACTTGTAACATAACAATTTTTAACGTGGTAATGTCGGACAAATTGTATTATAATGTGTGTATGTGTAAAGAACACACTTCAAGGTAATCTACGCGGTTTTAGCCTTGGGAACAGAGACGAGTGTCAAAAACTTTTATATGATCTTTAATACCAAAAAATAAAAGTTTCCGTCAATTAATATATACTGTAGATCTTGAGTAATTAATGGAATTAACCACTTGTCAAAAGAAAATAAAAAAGTAGCACCGACAAGGGTCCATTATTTTGAATTTTATTAGGTGTGGGTTGACGAAAATAAATTTTAATATATATTTAATAAATATACCAAACTACGTCCATGTGAAGTTGGTGAAGGGTCCAGATAGCTTTAATGCTATGTAATGATATTTTTAGCCACTTGAATTTGAAATGAAAAAAATAGCAAAAATAAAAAATATGCTGAAACCAAAACAAAAGTATCCCAAATGAAGAAAATCAAATAATGATTCATATATTACGTATGTAATTCAGCTGACCTAGACAATTTGTTTTTAAGGGATACCATATACCATCATGAATGTATATCATCACACTGTGAATTTTTGAAAGAAGAGGCAAATAGCATTTCATTCAATTTTGTGATCTATTCATTGAATTGTGGGCTAAAAATTGACATTTTGTAAATTTATTGCCAAACTTGGTTAAATATTTTGTAATTAGGATGTAAAATTGTAAAAAAATAAAATGAAAAATCAAAGCTTAATGTGAGTAATCAATTTTGACATAAGTATCTATATATTATAAAGTACGAAAATAGATACTAAAATTATTGTGTGTAATAATGGATTTGAAATGAGTATTATTTTTTTTTTCTTTAAAAATCATGAACATGATCATAGTAATACTGTTTAAGTTAGTTGTGATTAAATAGTCGAATTAAAAAGATATTGAAGGTAATAAACTTATTTAGCACATGTTTTTCCAACAACACCATCCATTCATTATACATGGGTGTGTTGATAATTAATAGCTTGTTAGATATTTGTAAAAAAATTGGTGGTATTTCATGTTTTTAAGATTATTTATATATCTTTTCATTGACCCTATGTAATGGATTATTTTTTCTATATTATGGTGCATATTTGGATAAAATAAGAAGAAAGAAGAAAAGAAAGTTAAATAAAGTATAGAGATAAGGACACTTTTTCTTTCATTTAATCTCAGAGAAAATAAAACAGTTAAATTTAGAAAAAAATAATATCTTTTCCTTTTTAATTTAAAGTTTGGTCTTATGTTTTTTCTTTGAAAAAAACAAAGCGACAAAAAATAAACTAAAAATTGATCATTTAAAATCCTTAAACGTAGTTAATTTTAACCCTCTCTGTCTCTTAAACGCGTTTATGTTTTACTTTTATGTTTAACAGCATTCAAACGCTATCTCTAAATAAATAAAATATGCTCAATTGATTAAAAAGATCAGTCAAAATTTGAAAAAATAATAAAAGGGAAAAAAGTGAAATTTGGCTAAAAAACAGAGATATCAAAATGGGTTTAATTGATAATTGATCCGAAATTTTTTTACAACAAACAAGATCAATTTTAAAAATAATAACTTAAATGGAATTAAATTATTTTGTGCTAAACTTGTTTTCAAATATTTTTAATTTAAGTTAATTCGATAAATGATAAGCTAATGTGTTTTTTAAAAGAAAAATTATTTTAAGAAAATAGATATTAGTATTATTTTATTAAAATATATATATAATATATATATATATATAAACATTATTATAATGAAATATGGAAATAAATATTATTTATATGATTCAATTTTTAAATTTAATTTTTATTATGAAATTTGTTTTTATAAAATCATCAAAATAATTATTTTTCGGTGTGTGGAGTCAAACAATCTATTAAAAATGGGAAAATACATTATCACAATTAGTAGAAAAATTCTTCATACCATGTTATTTTGATTTTTGTTTTTAAAAAAAAAATTGAAGGCATTTATGTGTTATTTACTTTTTATTTATTTATTAAAGATATTAACTTTATTACTAGTGTTAGATGATGTTCTTTATGTAGGTAGTAGGACATATTTAATTTAAGTTTTGATAGACATTTTATATGTTAAATAGTTATAAAATAATTTAAATTTTAATAAAATTATAATATTGTATTATATATTTCGTAATATTTATATTATTTAATTATTGGTGTTATTTAGTAAATGATAGTTTTGTTGTTCTCCCTTGTCTTACTATTGTTTAACATCTCAATCAAACTCTGGAACTGCTGCATTATCACGAGGAGAGTTTTCACAACTGCATATTCAATCTATTTTGCCATGGTTTTGCGTCTTTACTTAAAAATAAAATAAAATTAATAGCTCTGAATTATATTTTAAAATAGATTAAAATTTTTAGCTTAATTTATTTATATATTTAATTCAACGAATTAATAAATCAATTTTAATTTTTATTTATTCTTCGTAGTATTTTTTTCTCGTATTTGCACAGTCGTGGTATTCTTGAGTTTTCTCGTATTTAATTCAACCAAATAAAACTATTATTTTATTAAATAATATACACTTATTTATACAATATACAGTCAATCACTCCATATATTTATGCATGTGTCGCACTAATAATCCTGCACTTTCGTAAAAAAAAAAATATATATATATATATATATATATATACACACACACACACATATATATATATATATATATATATATATATATATATATATATATATATATAATTATCCGCCACCAATTATGGTTTTTTATTATTATTTGTATTCATTTCCTCCTTTTTAAAATATATAATATTTTTGTTAGTAAAAAATTATTTTTATATTTATAAAATTTAAGATTATATTAATTAATATTTTACTAATCATGTTTTTATCTTTTAAAATTTTAATAAAAATAATAATAAATTTATTAAAAAATAATAAAAATTAATACTTATTTTGATATATTGTCAAACATTAAATATCATACAAGTTAAAAGAAGATAAATTTTGTAAAAATTCTTAGAAATATATAAAGTTAATGTGTTTAGTTATTTGTAAGAAATATTTTACTGTTCAATCTTATTATCTTAAAAAATTATTTAATTGATACTGTATTTTTAACTATTTTTTTTTACTTTTATATCAAAATTTGATTGGAAAGACAGTTTAATAAAACAAAATATTTTCTATTAAATTACTAAAATTAAATGATCCTATTTTTTTATTATTATAATTATTTTTCTTATATTTAAATAAAAATAGGTAAAGATTTTAAATCAAATAAATCTTTAAATATATTTTAAATTGAAATAAATATTTAAAGTTATTTTAAAGATAATTTTTAAAAAATAATTGTTTTTATTTTTAAGTTATAAGGAAATAACTAAAGTTAGAAAAAGAGAGAAAAAAAAAAAGGAAGTGGTTTTAAGTTTGTGCTTTTGCTAATTGATGGCTATTAGCACATTCATTGGGCCCTGCTAACAAATTTATATATTACCAGTTACGCATTATTATGGTTCAATTGTTGTTCTTGTAACATGCATGGTTTATCGTTCATCTCACTCACCCTTGGCTAAAATTTTTTGCCGCTTCATGTGTTATCTTTTTCTTTTGTTGTTCTTATCTCCATAAGTTTAAATAAAAAACGGCACCGTTTATTAAAGAAACCAAAAGGTGTATGAAGGTGCCACGAATCCTCGGAATCTTACACGTGTAGGTCAGACACAGAAGTACAAGTTTTGGCAAACACCTTGACCTCCATCGAAACACCACTATTTGAAGCAATCTTGTGGCTTGCTCGTACCCTTGAACATCATCTTCAGTTCATCACAATCTTCCTCATGTCTACAGAAGCAAAAGGAGAAACAAAACCTTTGAGCACCCCGTCTTACTCCTCAGGTAATTTATTTGATCATGCATGCTTCATAATCTTTACAGAGTCATAAATTTAAGATATTTAGACTCAATTTTATGGTGTAGATGTTGACGATGGAGTAGTGAAGGATGTAGTCCTATGGAGAAGAAAGAAACTAAATGCAATCGTTATTGTAGTTGCAACAGCAGCATGGGTGTTGATGGAAGTATTTGAATTCAACTTCATCACTGTCATCTCATGGGTTGCCATACTCGTTGTTGCTTCAATATTCCTCTATGCCAATATGCGTAGACTTTTGGGCAAGTGAGAACCTTTCTCTTCTTGATTTTTTTCTACTGCAAAATCTTGTCTTGTGATATTCTTCTTCATTACTTACACATAGCAACTAGATTATTTTGTTTTGTCTAGTTATGAGGTTCAAAATCACTACAATAATCAACTATTCTTAACTGAAAAACTTGATTATATATGTAATAGTTTTTCCCTTGTGATTGAGTGAAATATAGGGAACCACCAAACTTGTTGAAGTTGGAATTAACCGAAGAAACAACTAGAAGAGTAGCAAACAAAGTTCGAGCATGGATTGAAGAAGCAATAAGGTGGATGTTCCTTGTGGGTGCAAGGAAAGAGTGGCCAGCATTTGTGGGGGTGGTGGCTGGATTGTTGTCACTGGCTTACATAGGAAGTTGCATGGACCTCCTTACTGTAGTTTATATTGGTACGTGGTTAAGTTCTTTTTCACCAATGGTTTTTCACACTCCATCTTGTTTTTAATTTTGATTTGATTGTGTAGGTGTATTAGTGGGAATGGCAATTCCATTAACATATGTGAAGAACGAGGACAAGATCAAGAGATTTGGGGAGTGGTTGAAGGAGAAATACAAGAGATGTTACCAGATTATTGATGAGAAGACTGTTCAGAAGATCAAAACCAGAATACCCAAGGAGAAGAAAGCAGAGTAATAGCTTTTGTAGTTGGGAACATCGTACTTAAATAATGTGCAGGATTAAGCTGTATTAATTCATGAATATTAAATAATTACTAGTTTGTCATATTTTGGAAATGTTATGGATGGAACATTCATTGGAATTTAAAATTATCACTCGAATAAATTACCAGAAACTAAAATTTAATTTTTACCATAAGGAATATATAGCAACTGTGGATCCGTGGCGCAATGGTAGCGCGTCTGACTCCAGATCAGAAGGTTGCGTGTTCGATTCACGTCGGGTTCAAACTCTATTCATTTTTCCTTCACAAATGTCAAAAAATGGCCAAAACGCGTCACAAAATCTAGTGTGATAAAAGTATGCCTCATACAAATTTAGTTATTATTGTTAAAAAGTTTTCGATTATTCAAATTATACTTAGCAGTTTGGTAATTTTCGATTATTCTCTCTGTATTTTTTTCAAATTACTCACTTCACTTCGGTTTCAAGTAACACTTTTACATATTAATTGGTTTTATTGATACCAGTGTTTTGGAATTATTTTAATTATTCCAAAAATGGAAATTTTTTTATTAGAAAGCAAATTAGTTAGTAAACTTGTAATTTTTTTTTTATGAAACACACTTATTCATCTGCTAAGTATTTTAGCGAACAACGACCATAATTCGTTATTTATTTATGTGAAGTTTTATGCTTTTAGATTATTCCTTAGCGTGAGTTATTCACATACGAAAAAGCCTTTCCTTCCCAGTAAATTGCTCGGCAAAGACCGCGAAGCTCAGGAGAAGTGAATGAATACATATAGACACCAACACCAACCATTCATCGTCACCACGAAAATTCGTGTTCTGTGATCGATAAACCTTCCTTACACTTTGTTATAACTTAGTTTGTTTTCTCGTTCTTGTTTTCATCCCTCTCAACTTCAGTTGCAGCGGTTGGTGTTTGACTTCGAATTCAGGGAGAAAGTTTGGATTTTTGCCATCTTGGTGTTGTTAGCTATGGCAGATCTGTTCAGTGGTGGTGCTGTCGGAGCAGTGATGGGAGAATTCTTGAAAGGGGCCATTGCAACCATAAACAAAGGTCGAGAATTCAAACCCACCCTCGAGAGCTACATAGAAACCTTAGACTCTTTGGCTCCTCTGGTGGAGCAGATGAAGAAGTACAACATGATGTTAGATAGGCCCATAGAGGAGATAGAGCGGTTGGAGCGTCACATGCGAACTGGAAAAGAGCTGGTTCAGAAGTGCTCGAAATTTGGTCGCTGGAGAATGTTGTCGTTCCCTTATTACCAGAGCAAGCTTCGGAGCAAAGACGTGGCTCTAGGGAAGCACTTATCGGTGAATGTGTCCGCGGAGAACAAGAGGGACTTGATGGAGGTGGTGATCAACGTGAGGAAGGTCTTGGAGATTCTGCTAAAGAAGGAGGATATAGAGCCATATCATGGGTACCAGCTCAGGGGTATATATGGGGCTCCTCAAGAACCTGAGTTTATGGAAATGGGTGTGCCTTTGAGCAAGCTGAAGATGGACTTGCTCAAGGATGGTGTCTCCGTTCTTGTCTTGACTGGTTTGGGAGGGTCGGGGAAAAGCACTCTGGCTAAAAAGATCTGTTGGGACCCTGAAGTCGAAGGTAGCTAACTCTCTTCCCTTTCTTCTTCTCGCACCCCATCATAATATTTTTGTTTGAATTGCAAGAAAAAGATTGAAAGAAGTCTTATATAATATTAGGTTTTAAACTGTGGTTGTGGTTATGTTTCCTTGCAATATTTGATGTTGCGAGAGATTGCAGGTGATGCGGTTACAACAGTAGCCATTTAGTGATCTCAAGACCTTAAAAACTTATTACCTAGTTCTCGATCACCACCTTCGATATGCTTCCAACCAATATTTTAACGACACGTGGACAATTTTATCATATTTATTTATGATTTTTCAAATTTTAAAATCTTTCAAACTTGTGTTGTTATGTATATTCTTGATGAGTTAGCCAAATTTTTCACTATTGAGAAAATATCTCCATTTTTAGTTTCAACTTTTTATCCTTTTGTTCCAATTTTGGAGAAATTGGAAGAAATGAAAATTTTGATTTGCTCCATCTTAACATTTATATCTAAACAATGGAATGGAAGTTCTATTTATTGTGGTTTATCTGACTCCATTCCATTTCTATTCATCAATTCAAACGTAGGTTAAAGTGTTTGATTTCTCGTGTTTTTTCTTGTAAAAGTTGTAGGGTGTTGAGTTTATAGAGATTTCAAGTGGATTGTTCTCGTCTTCCTTTCCTTTTATCATTTGAGTGGTTCAATGATTCATGGTCAGCTTTTTATCTTTGGAGATTAAAACACAAACTTAAAGTGTTTATCTTATTGGTTATTGAATGATAAATTATTGATCTAATTTGTGGAATAGTATCTCAGATGTTTTAGAAAGCTATTTTGTTTTGACCAGACAAGTTCGGGAAAAACATCTTCTTTGTCACCGTATCAAAAACGCCCAACTTGAAGACCATTGTAGAGACCCTGTTTGAACAATGTGGTTGTCGGGTGCCTAAGTTTCTAAGCGATGAAGATGCAGTAAACCGGTTGGGAGTTCTGCTGAGGGTTGTTGGAAAAAATCCAATACTGTTGGTCTTGGATGATGTTTGGCCTAACTCAGAAGCCCTCATTGAGAAGTTTAAAATCCAGATACCTGATTACAAGATTTTGGTGACTTCAAGGGTTGCATTTCCAAGATTTGGCACCTCATACCAGTTGGATAACCTTGATCATGACCATGCAGTATCCCTTTTCCGTCACTTTGCACAGCTGAATGACAAAAGCTCATACATACCTGATGAAAATCTTGTCCACAAGGTAGTGCTTCTACTTCTCCGAAACCAAAATTATTCACACATGTCATACACATGCACCAATTTATACAAGTTCATTTTTTGTTGTGTCTATCTCACTATATCATTATGACATATAAGAAATAACGTAAATGAGAGAGATAAACACACACAAAAAAAAAACAACAAAAGTTGAACAAACTTTTGTATGATTGTTTGCTCATGTAACATTCTCAATTAGAAGTTGTACAGCTTCTTTTTACAAGACCCAGTCCATAATATTCCATAGCAAAACTTTTTGCAGGAGAGAATTATTAATGACAAGCATAATTTTGAAAAAACAAATGAAGATAGATTTATTATCAACTACAACTGCTAAATGAGTCTTATAAATAGGAATGGAGGAAGTAGCAAGACACAAATTTATGTCTGTTTGTCATATTCATCCTTCTGTTTTAGGATATGAACAACCTAGTTATCTAGCCTTTTACTTTATTTACTGAATTTACTATGTTTCACTGAAATGCAGATCGTGAGAGGTTGCAAGGGTTCACCATTGGCCCTTAAGGTGACTGCTGGATCACTCTGTCAGCAGCCTTTTGAGGTGTGGCAAAATATGAAGGAGCGTTTACAAAGTCAATCCATTCTGGAGTATAATGATATTGATTTGCTTTTTCGTCTTCAACAAAGTTTAGATATATTGGAGAATAAGTTCTCCATCAACGAAAAGGTGTGTTTCATGGATCTGGGGCTATTTCCTGAAGACCAAAGGATCCCTGTTGCTGCCCTCATTGATATGTGGGCAGAACTGTATAACCTTAATGAAGATGGTAGCAATGCAATGTCCATTGTCCATGATTTAAGCACCAGGAATTTGATTAATTACATAGTTACAAGGTACATAAGAATAGTAGTAATATGTTCAAAATTTTATAATTTCAGCATAGTAGTCGATAAGCTTAGTACATGCATAAGACGCTTTGGCATAAATTTATTACTTGAAATTAAAGAAGAAGGAATGCATGGTATATATGGAACCTTTTCGGTTCTAATTATGAAGCAAGGAAATAAAATTGCTCGTCTTCTTGTGTTTTTTTGTTGTCCAGGAAAGTTGCAAAGGATACAGACATGTACTACAATAACCACTTTGTTATGGTGCATGATCTCCTGAGAGAGCTAGCATTACGTCAAAGCAGAGAGGAAGCATTTGAGCAAAGAGAAAGATTGATGATTGAGTTAAATGGAGATAATCGTCCTGAATGGTGGGTAGGATTGAATCAGCAAGGAATCATTGCCCGTACGTTCTCGTACATCCTGGGAATGTTTTATAGACAGAAACAACTTAAGGTTGCTGCCCGGATATTGTCTATTTCAACTGGTATGTTCCTCCCTCTCCAAACTATTGGAAATGCATATACATATATGATAAATGCTACATGCTACTCTCCAGTTTCATAATAATTGTCTTTTAGGCTATTTTGCACTCTGGTTTTGAGGGTGGAGAAAAGTTTTTTTTTTTTAATTTTGAGTATTAAAGAAGAAGTGGCAAAATAGGCTTAGTCCGATGGATCAGTCCAAAAGATCCGAAAAACAGTTCAGGTAAAAAAATTTATGATCTAAATAGAACCGGATCATTCCTTGTCCGATCTATTTAGTCCATGGTCTAAATAAGTTTAGGCCAGATTAGCATGTAGGATAGCATATAGGTTGATCCGTTTTATAAAATAATTATTATTTTTAAAATAAAACAGAAGTAATATTATTTTATTAAAAAATATATGTATAATAAATTAATTTGTTAATATATATTATATTATATTATATATATATATATATACATAATTTAGAAAGAATAATAAATCCTAAATATAAAATTTATTTGTTTTGGTCATCTTCTTCTCTTTTGCTGTTGTGACTTCTTTCCTCTTCTTATGTGCACACTCTTAGCTCTATGTAAGTCTCTTATGTATTTGTGACTTCTTACATTACTCTTTTCATGTGCACACCTCAAACAACTCTTATTGGAGAGTAAGTTTTTGTGACATTTTAAGCATTACAAGGTGCAAGCTCTCTTATTTGTACTCATAATTGGTTATCAAGTTGGTTGCATGGTTATAAGTTGGACTATACGTAAGTTAGTATTCAATATTATATAATTTTTATATTATGCAAACATTAATTAGTTTTACCTTTTATTATCAATCATAAATACAAAAGAAGAAAATATTTTATGATTTTATACAATAAATTTTTTTATGATAAATTTTATGTACAATGATATTTTATGATTTTATTTTGTCTAAATAGGATGTGAGTTAATTTTGATTTTTTTCAAATAAAATAAAAAAAATTATATAAATAAAAAAATATTTTTAATTAGGTAAGAAATGGTCAATTAACCCGTTGGTCTAATAAGTTAGACTAAAAAGTTTGATCCGTTTTAAAATATAAGTTAGGTTGGGCCAATTATTTTTCATTTGACTCATAGGGTCATGGTGGGTTGGACCGTCCATTTTGATTACTCAAATCGTGTTTAGTAAAATAAATGAAGGTTCAGGAAATTAAGTTTATGTTAAAAATCATTTTTTCTTTATTTAACAAAATTAATCAAATTTAGGAATATTTATTGAACTTAATTTCTATGCACTATTTATATTGACAAATAACTTTATAAAGCATACTTGGCATGACTGTTAAGGTTGTCATTTTAAAAATCACCAAACTTTTAGGATAGTGATTCGTGTTCAGACAAGAGTGTAAAACTCTGTTTACTCGTATTTCTTAGAAACTTGAAAATGACAATTTTAACCTCCCAATCCCTTTAAATTCTACCCGTTAAGTTCATTTGACCTATTATCCTTTTTCTCCATTAAATTGTTCATGCTACTGAATTTGAGATATCGATAGATAAGAATGAAGGTAGGAAAAAAGTAACTAATGCATTCTTAGTCGTATAAAGTCACAAACATTTTGGAAAAAATAAATAAATTCAAAACTGTTTGGGAATATATATATATATATATATATATATATATATATATATATATATATATATATATATATATGAACTAATAAGAAATACTCATGCGCTGTGTCATACTTAATCTTCCATTATTAATGTCAAACATGATGCTTTTGCAGATGAAACGTTTAATTCAGATTGGTGTGACATGCAACCTGACGAAGCTGAAGTTATGGTTTTAAATCTTCACTCTAGGCAGTACTCATTGCCAGAGTTCACAGAGAAGATGACTAAACTTAAAGTTCTGATAGTCACAAACTATGGCTTCGATCGTTCTGAATTAATCAAGTTTGAGCTACTTGGTTATTTAACTAACTTGAAAAGAATCAGATTGGAAAAGGTTTCAGTCCCTTCCCTGTGCATATTGAAGAGTCTGCAAAAATTGTCCCTTCATATGTGTAATATAAGGCAGGCTTTTGAAGGATGTTCTATCCAAATCTCAGATGCAATGCCAAATCTTGTGGAGATGAGCATTGATTATTGCAATGATCTGGTTAAATTGCCTGATGGGCTATGTAACATCACCCCCTTGAAGAAGCTTAGTATCACTAACTGTCACAAGCTTTCTGCACTGCCACAAGATATTGCAAAGCTGGAGAATTTGGAAGTTCTAAGGCTATGTTCTTGCTCTGATTTGGTAGAGATGCCAGATTCTGTTAAAGGGCTTAACAAGCTTAACTGTCTTGACATCTCAGACTGTGTGAGTCTTACCAAATTACCAGACGACATTGGTGAGTTGAAGAAGCTTGAGAAGCTTTACTTGAAGAGTTGCTCAAAACTGAGTGAATTGCCATACTCGGTCGTTAATTTTGGAAATTTAAAGCATACAATATACGTGATCTGTGACGAAGAAATGGCTTCCTTATTGGAAAATTTCCCTACCCCTCCTAATTTGAAGATAGAGATACCTACAGTGGAGAATAACTTAAATTGGCTTCCTGGAGTTCATTCCTAAGACTCGCTTTCTGAAATTGACGGGCCTGGTAGGAATCGTATTTGAATTTGAAACCATGCTACTGCAGTGAAAAAGTAGGAGTTTGGTTGGGTGATTCTGTAAATACACAACACTTTGAAACAACACTTCACGTGTAATTTTATTTTGAGTGGTGATATTTTGACAACCAGAAATCATACAACTCTTTAAACAACTCATTTTTATTAATATAATAATCTATAAAATGATTGAATAAAAATAAAAATTAAAACAAAATTATTATTATAATATTAAAAGAGAGTTGTTTATAGGAGTTGTATGGATTTAGGTTGTCAAAGCATCATTTTTCTTTTATTTTAGCATCGTCATTTATATATTTGTGATTACTAGCACAATATATTATTTTATTTGTTGGTTCCCGTATCCGGTGTCTTATTATATAATTAATTTTGGTAAAATTTGAGGAACTCAAGTCTTTATCAGAACAACTTTGTTTAAGATGCTTTTGAACTCTAAATACTAAGTATGTGAATACTTAAAAGTTTTATCTTTTATATAAATTAGTGAAAACTGGGTGCGTTTCCAGACCTTTTGTAGTAATAAAAAAATATTTAATATAATCAAAAGATATTATTATATCATCAATTGAAAACAGATTATCACAGTTCACAGTTAAACCTTACATAAACTTAATCATGAAAATAGACTAGGGAAAGTAGTTTATTTAAATTTATGAACATATTCACCATATTTTAACACGTTTCACTATCAAATTTATGAACAAGCTTTATATATGATAAAAATTTATTGAATAGATACTTAATTAAATTGGTTATCCAATTGTAGTCGAAATTATTCCACACCAGAAGCATGAGGTAGAATAACGACATTTAATCATGCACATTAAAAATACCGTTCTGAATAAGGCAATTTAAGGAATAGAAGGATCGAAATATATACTGCACATCCCACGAGACGAATACATTAATAGTGGGGTTTGAGACATTCTAGTAAACTATTGTACAATCGTGGGAGCTTTGTTTGTCACCCTTTCCAGTTGCATTGCACTGCAATATTGCAGCATGGAGAAGGATAAGAGGCACACCAATGCTCCATCACAAATAAGCAATAAACTGAAATGGTGAACTGGAATGAGAAGGCATAGATCACAGGATAAACACAAGTAACTCCCGGGATGTGTACTTAATGTGTATGCAAACAAGAAGCCTGACACCAATATAACCGACAGGAGACAATAAAACGGCTAATGAATACATGCGATACAAACCAAGTACAGGAAACGAGGGAAGGAAGGTAATTATGATTTCTCAGCCACCAACCCTTATAGAGATTAAGAAACATGTTCCTCTCCTCGGCAGTACCAAGAAGCATACAACATATAAATGACCATGATGGACTTCATGTATCATTAATCTACAGGAAATATGGTCTCCACACATTTCTATTCCCTTGATGCTGAACAGGCCATAAAGTTGAATATTGATATGCTGTCCTTTCATTATGCTGTCTCTAAAATGCAGACGATGATTAAATTACATGGCATACACTATTTCCCCACTGCTTTCTACATCTTGCTCGAAGTCAGAGTCAGATTCATCCATGTCATCTATTATGTTATCAGCCATAAACTGGTCTAAAGAATAGGTCCCTTCTGGTGGTAAGGTAGCTTCTAAAATTATCTGCATGATTGTATCAATGCTCTGGATGGGTTGATCTGACTCTACAAATTGCTTACCCATGATCTTTTCATCCATCAAGTAAGGAGGGAGATTCTTCAGAAACCATTCATTTTTCAATATTTCAGGAATAGTGATTCTCTGTAAAAATTAATGTACAAAAACATAAGGTTCAAATAAATCAATAAAGAAGCAAGAGTGGAAGTTAATCCCTACCTTACAAAAAAAAGGTTTGATTCATAATATGCAAATCAACAATGTTCCCAGCTGTCTATGATCACAATTTATTATTATATAGTATTGAATGTGACTGTGCCTACAACCTTCTTATCAAAGCTAGATTTACAATCTAAGCTGCGTAGGACCTACAATATTAAGATATGTCAAAACAGTGGGCATTCCTATATGATGCGAGATATAAAACCTTAGTGGCTGAGCACCCTAGAAAATGTATTATTATTATTATTATAATTATGTGTGTGCGCGCGGGTGTTAAAACAGATGCCATTCTCTTTCAAAAATCCAGCTCATATAGTGCTTCAGCTGGAAAAAAGTAAAAGAAAAAGTTCTAACATTTTCAAGAGGGAAGATGGTTGTGGTAGTGTATATAAAAATGAATCCATAACAAGGAATTATAGTGTACCTTAAATCGTATTTGCAGAAGTAGGTGATTTATTAGAAAATAGAAATTACCTCTGCAGGATCAAAAACAAATATCCTTGAGATAAGGTGGCTACACTCAGGAGATATTTGTATATGATCTGGAATGGAATACTGGACACCGAGAACCCTCTGCAAAGAACCAACAAAAAAATACTGTTCTCACTCTCACACAACTAGAGGCTTGTAAAGGAAACACGCAAATATCTTAAATATCAGATCAACCTGAATTGTCCTCCGGAAATCCCTTGGATCTTCAGGATCTTCAAAAGGATATGAACCCACTAGCATCACATATAAGGTTACTCCACATGACCAGACATCCGCAATCTGATATTTAGTGCATGACAACATAAAAAAATCCGTTAAAATACTTACATACATGCTAGTAAAGTTAAACATTGAAATGTTTGATCACAGTGCATTCCAATTTCGTCACATGGGTGCGACTCAAGATACATGCTTATGTGTAGGTGCTTAATTAGCAATAATGCACATTAAAAGTAAGACTATGCATACAACAATAGAGATGACAAAACGGGTCAGGTCCGGCGGGACGGGTTAGTACTTTCAACCCGTCAGTCCGTTTTGGCCCGTCTCGCCAACCCGTCGAGCCAACCAGCCCACTTTATTAATAGTTTTTTTTTTATCGTGATACAATACAAAAAGTTAGAAGACAATATAAAATATAAAGATTTATGAAAAGAGAATTCTAAAAGTCTAGTGTCTCAAAGAGAATTCATAAAGTCTCAATATCTCACTACTAATTCAAAAAAATTTACTGTTACATACATATATTTATTATTATATAAATTTTATCTTAATTTAATTGCTCTAAAATATAATTTATTAAAATAATATATCAATTTATATTATTAACTTAAAAATATATATATATATATATATATATATTGAATTGTTGACAAGATAATTTTATTATTAAAGTTATTGAAAGATTTGATTTAAAAATAATAAAATAAGAAATATGATGGGTCAGCCAGCCCTTTGGCAAGGGGCGGATCAAGACACGTAGCCGCCGACCCTTTGGCAAGGGGCGGATCAAGACACTGTAGCCCGCCATGACTATAACGAGCTGGCCCGTTTTGCCATCCCTATACAACAATAACAACCAAGCCATTTCCCATTGGGTGGACTTAACACCATAATGTTGCATTGTGTATCATGTCTATAGAAAAACCATTAACTTATTCATGAATCAAATGAAAACATGACTCCAAAAGGTAATTTTAGTAAAATGGTCATCGAAGAGGTTTGAATCATATTATGTTTCTAAAGCCAAAAAATGTGAGAGTTGCCCAAAAACCCTAAACAGTTTCTTAGGGGTAAAAATGGGTTTTTGAAGCCTATATAATGATGGTACTCCTATGGCACGCAAAAGTCTACTATTTTCCCACAATTGTGTTGAAAACTGGTATGCTATTTGAATGCTACAGTGGCCCAAGGCCACAATTTATAACACTATTCACTACTATGATTCATTCCTGATCTCAATTACTGAATGAGTGCCAGATTACGAGTATAAATAAAGATTTAAAAAATATCAAAATGAGAGTAAGAGTGCAGAGAGAAAGTTAGGTGGTAATATTCTCAACTAGTTCTTCATTTAATTACATCTATAAGTTTATTTTTATTAATCTATTAACAAAGAAACCTTAATAAGCTACGGACCTTTTCAAATTTTTAGGACAGAAAGATGCAGGAGGACTGACATTAAGCTCCTGCTCTCTTGTATTTAATAAAAGCAGAGATTTGAATAACTACTATAAAGTTAAGAACTTCAACTAGTGCCAAGAAGACATGAACAATGCGAAGATGACAACCAGAAAAGAAGCAAACTTTGTTTAGACACCAAACAAAAATTACCACTGGAGTTAGTGATGACAGATAGATTATTAAAAAAATGCTTTAGCTCCTTATTCCAGGATAAGTCAACCTCACTAGCCCACAAATTATGCTACCAAATAATGAGATTAATACAGAAAAAGAGCAAGACTAAGAAACTCAAAATAGCTCTACCTTGCCATCATACTCTTGCTTCAGCAATACTTCTGGAGCAATATATGCAGGGGTTCCCACAGTTGAGTTAGGTTGTGAATGAAGCATCGAAGACTGCCAAAAACTAAACCTATTAGATATGTAAAATATAGAAATTTATCTAAACACATTATTTAATATAAAATAGAATACAATGATGATCTACACTTGAGAAGTTCCAAATTAGATCCAAAAATGAATATGTAGGTGCTTACAAGACAGAAAGAAATCCAAATTGATGAATAAAAATGATGACCTTAAAGGGTCATTGCATGTAAACGGAAGCTCTATTTTAATTGCAGAGTACAAATACAAGTGGAATTATAATGTCACCAACAAAAGGTGTACGCTGCGAGCTAAATGTTCAGATGCCTCAAGAAACCAGGAAACGTTTCATAGTTTTTAGTTGTTCCCTATATGTGAAACATTGAAATACAAATACAAGAAAAATTCTTCTTATAAGGGATACTCGGTCTTGTGAGAACACATAGCATCTGCCCCAAAATCAGTAGCAAGGTTCCATCATATTAGATTAGATGCATAGCTCAACTCTGGACGAAGACAAATCACAGTACACTGTGCTTCGGCTAATCATCCTACCTATGAGGAGAATAACTCAAAGTTCACAATATACTCCTCAAACTTTCTCGTTTGATGAAGATTTAAAAGCTCTTCAAAGGCATCATTTAGAGGTAAACTTACTGAACCAGAGCTTACACATCCCAGTAAAATATATAAGCATGGAACTCACACCATGAAAAGCTCGTGTGACAAAGAAACACTTACCTTGGAATATCCAAAATCACATATCTTCAAATGGACTGCTGGGCTTCCATCCAACAAAGTGTTTTCCAACTTCAAGTCCCGGTGACACACTTCCTTCAAGAGGAGACCACATTATGATGCATAAGACTCATACATCAGACATGAAGAGTGCTTACAAAACACTCTCTACTATTTGTTGATAACGTACCTTCCTCGCTATGCAAAGGTATGGACGATAATTATATGCAGCCTTACCCTAGTGTGTGCAAAGAGGCTTATTCCATATTTGAACCCATGACCAATCAGTCACCAAGGCAGAACTTTTATTGTCATACCATCATAGCTCACCCTCTTTTCTTAACTATTGGTTAAAATTATTGAAAAATACAAAATCATGGAAGATGTTCATTAAACAAGTGTGAGACCCACAATTTTTTGTAATTTCAAGTAAATTTTAACCAATAGAAAAGAATGTGCTCAAAAGAGTGTGTGGCATACATTTCTTCGGCAGACAATACTCAAAAGATTGATGTGCCTACATTACATTCCATGTAGGTTACTACAATTTATATCCTAGGGTGAGAAACATATCAGTTACCATTGCATGACAATAGCTGACCCCAGATATGAGTTGTTGAAAGAAGAAACGAGCCTGTGGCACAACAATAGGTTAGTAGTTACATACGGACTAGATAACTAGCACAACTTTGTTCTGACTGAAAAGGTATAGAAAAAGTGAAGAAATTTGTGTAAGAACCTCATCCTCAGTAAAACGCCCTGCATTGCTAATTCGATTAAATAGTTCTCCTCCAGATGCATATTCCATTACAATGGCCAGATGGGTAGGTGTTAAAATGACCTGAGTGAAATTTTACAGAACATTGTCCGCAAATATGATTATTCCACCGCGGAACACAACACTATAAAAATGTAAATATTATTATACCAACCTCCTTAAACCTGATAATGTTAGGATGTCTTAGAGACCTGTGATTAATGATTTCTCTTTTAACATTTTCATCAATCTGCGACACACAATGAATGATAGGAAAAAGGTTAGTCTAGTACTTCATCAACAAGAATCGGAACGAAAGTGGCAACAAAAATATCACATTATTGGTGAGCACCAAAAATAAATTCATTTTTTCACTATTTCACATGATCTGGGTTGACCACCTGAATCAATCCAACATTTGACTACTGACTACTCACCTCATGTATAAATCCTTCCTGGCATTGAAGATTCCCACTTTCCCTTGGGCTGAAATTTATCATTTATTTAGAAAATGGGTAATAACGACAGAACTACAGACCACATGATTACAGAAGCTTCGACACCAAATTATGAACCAACTATTCCAAAAGCTCAAACTATTAGGTGAAAGCACATGAATGGTTTTATATCTAACATCATCTCAACAGCTTAAGTTCACACGTGGATGATTTTATATTTTATATCTAACACTCCATAAACTCCACTCTTACTAGTGCACTATCAGAACAACCAAAAACAAGCCAGACAAACGAATGCACCAGAACCCTACTTATCTACTTGAACGTGGCATCATTCCATCATAAAAAAAAATGAGTATCAAGTCACCTTATTCTTGATAACTGAATGACAACTGAATCACCGCTACTATAGTAAACCAATCAAAAAGTGCATGATTAATTGATCAGCTTTTAAACTGCTGAGCAATCACAAATTTCCCATACTCAGCCATACATGTCACCAAAATTAACTAAACAACTCGACAACAATTAACCGCTAAAAAAAAGAAACAAGAAAAAAATTTGACAAGCCCAATTAAAAACACGTCAGCATCTATATTCAACCGAACTCCTAAAAAAATTATACATGACAAGTTCACACCAACCTTTTTCCCGCGTTCTATATACTTGACAGCAACAAGCTCTTGCGTTTGCTTATCCCTCATAAGTCTAGCCACGCCGAAATTTCCAGATCCAATATCGCGAACGAAATCGTAGCGGTCACTATCATGCATGATAGGCATGTCCAAACCTATTCCTGTGGCCGGCCGATCCATCGATGCCAGTAGACCACGGTGGGATGCGGAGAAAGATTCTGCGAGCGGACAGTAATGGAGTGAGAAAGTGGAAGTGGAAAGGTGGGACAATGAGGTCGTCGTTTAGTGGATTGCCTCTTAAACAGCGTTTACCAATAATTTCTTTACAGTGGCTTTCGTCTCTTTGTTTATTTAATTTTATCTATCCATTCATAAGATTGGGCTGGTTCTTCATCCACCCATACCCCCCCCCCGCTACTTTTATTTGTCTAAAATAATAATAATATTGTTTATAATGTAAATAGATTTTGAAAAAAAAAATAATGATTTTTCAAAAAAAAAAAAAAATTCCAGAAAAGTTATTTCAAAACTTCCAAAAAGTTTTCGGTAATTCAAAAATTTCCATAATTTTCAGAAAATGATAGAACGCTTCTGAAATTTGAAATAATAATAATATTATTTATAATGGAAATAGATTTTGGAAAAAAAATTTATTGATTTATTAAAAAAAATGAAATATTCCAGAAAATTTATTTCAAAACTTCCAAAAAGTTTTCAGTTTAATTCAAAAAATTTCCATAATTTCCAGAAAATGATAGAACGCTTCTGAAATTTGAAAAAACAATTTTCTTCAAGATAAAAAAAATATATTATTAATAAATAATAAATAAATATACAAATTTGAAAAATAAGAAATTAAAACATATAAATAGATATAATTAATAATGATCAAGTTAGTGAATGTTATAAAATTTTGGGGTTAACAAAAATTTATCACTGTTTATTTTGAAGTCAAATTTTTAGAATATTTTAAAAAGTAAATTCTAAAATATTTTCAAAAAAGTTTTTAAAAGTTTTTTTTATCAAAAATTTCTAAAGTAGTAAATTTTCATTTGTTATTTTTCATCCAATTTACATTTTTACCTTTCTTTCACACGGATTCATCTTTATTTACACTAAGTTTGTCGTTTAAAATTAATTACTTACAGTAATCTATTTTTTTATATTGTCAGATGTTTTTATTCTTTTAATCAAATAAATGGACTGTATCATTTTAATAAAATAAATATATCACATGATATTATTTGTTGCGCCTAGGAAATAATTATATTATGTTCAACAAAAATTTAGATTCAAGATTGCTGAGTGCAATACGTAGCTAAAATATTAGTTAGATATGTATTTTTATTATATAATTATTGAGTTAATTTATGACTAATTATATATAGTTGTGGATATTAATTAATAATAATAGATTTTATACAACTTCAACCCAATGCTTATGTCTAAATCAAAATTTTAATGTGTATAAAATTTAAAAAACCTATGTTTAAGTTATTTAAAAACATGTGTTTAAAACTTGAATTTCAACTTATTAATTTTGAGATGGTGAGTAATTAAATTTAAAATGGTAAACTTTGTATAAAGATAGATAACACAAAGTCAAGACCATACAATATATGAAAGAATAGTAAGAAATATAAAATGAAATGTTGATATCCTTTCTAATAATTTATTCGTAATATAGAACTTAATTGTAATTTTGAAAGTACTTTTAATTGTAAAAATAGTTTAAGTTCAAACACTGCATTATATTTGCGAGGATGTAATTTACAGGAATATTAAAAATAATTCTTAACACATGCTTGGTTAACTTGTTATATTTTTGAGAATTTTTAAAAATTTTAAATCAATTAAAATAAAGGAAAATAATAATTGAAGTGATAAATAGCGGTTAGTTCTCTTATTCACGAATAAATATAACTTTCTCACATCCTAGTCGTGGTAATAAACTGTGTACAGTTAAATAAACATAGCTTTATTTAAAATAAAATATGCCCCAAACATTATTTTGTTTATCATTTTAATAAATATAGAATAAACATCTTAATTTCATAGTTTTAGAATGCAACATGTGAAATTAATTCCTCTAAAGGATGAGTGTAAATTAAATTCATATGAAAATTAATAAAATTACTTGTAAATGTTGATCGTTTGTGACAAAAAAAAAATAGTAACAGAAAATAGTTGGAGAAATTTAATGCTAACAGATTATTGGTTCTATATTAGAAATAGAATCATGCACCTTTTTAAATACTACATTTAGTTCATGGAAAAATATAGAAGAGATTAATAAAAGTCTTGTCTTGAATACTTATCTTCTAGAGAAAGTGTTTTCCTTGTTGTTGTTATGCGAATGACACAAACTTGCAAAATGAAAAAGGAACGTGATTAGAGAAGCAGAAAATTCATATACGTGTTGCTGAGTTGAAGGAAAGTAGAGGAAATATAGCTTCGTTGGTTGATCGATGGAGAGAAAGGAGAAGTGAAGCAGAGAGGAGAAGAGGGTTCGAGAAGATAAGAAAGAAGAGAGAGAGAATGGTGAAAATGAGTAAAGTGGCGGGTGGTAGGTGAAGTTGAGTAAAGAAAAAGCAGAAGATATTTCTTGAGTGCTTCTGCACGTGAGAAAGGAGGATTAGGCTGGAGTAACAGTGTTAGGCCCAACAGAGTGGTATCTAGATCAATGTTCAAGAAGAAGGATCTTGGGAATGTAGCTACGTGTTATACTCATGGTTGGTGGAAATCTAATACCGGGAAATCTATCTATATTTGATAGAAAAGGATATGATGATTGGTGCGTGAAGATGGAGGCGATTCTTACCTTTCAAGGAATTGATGAGATTGTAAAGGTGGATTTTAAAGAACCACCTAAGAACACAGATGAAAGGACCAAGAAAACGTACAAGAGGATGAAGAAATTGGATTGCAAAGCCCGAGTGTTGTTGCATTAGTGTGTAGCAGCAAACATTTTTCAGAAAATCTCGAAGGTAGAAACAACAAAGGAGGCTTGGGAGATCTTGCAGAATGGGTATGGAAATTTTGGGAACAAGAAAAAGGTGAAGTTGTAATTCTTAAGGAGACAATATGAACTTATTGCCATGAATGAGAAGAAGACAGTGGCTAAATATTTTGAGAGATTACAGGTGATTACTAATGTCATGAAGGCATGTGATGAGAGCATATAAGACAACAAGATCGTTGAGAAGATATTGAGGCTTTAACCCTGCGGTTTTACCACATTGTGGTGGCCATAAAGGAGTCAAAAGATCTTGATGAGATGACAGTGAAAAAACTGCAAAATTCACTCGAAGCACGTGAACAAAGAGTGAATGAAAGGAAGAATGGTGAGAAGGTAGTAGAGCAAGCGTTACAGACCAAGGTAAGTCATGGAGGAAGAGGCAGAAGTGGCTGGAGAGGAAGAGGTAGAGGAAGATCTGGGGGTAGAAATGGTGGCAGAAACAGTGATGCAGTGACTCAAGACAATTACGTTAAAACTGGATCTGGAGGCAGAGGTGAGAATCAGAATAGAGGAAGAGGAAAAGGTGGCATGAAGTCTTATGACAAGAGAATGATACAATGTTATAACTGCAACAAGTATGGGCATTATTCCTATGAATGTTGGCAGGAAGACACTTCAAAGAATGAGCAGAAAAAAGAAGCAAACATGGCACAAGAGGAAGGTAGTGAATTTGATTCTGACAAAGTGTTGTTAATGGCCACAACAGATAGCGAGGAGGACAATATGGTTTGGTATTTGGACACAGGATGTTCCAATCACATGACTAGAAACAAAAACTAGTTGATTAATCTCAACCCATGTGTGAGGAACAACGTAAAATTTGCAGATGACAGTTCCATTGTGGCAAAGGGAATTGGAAAGGTGATGATTACGAGGAAGGATGGTAAAGTGACCTATATGAATGATGTTCTATATGTTCCAGGCATGAAGAATAACCTACTCAGCCTGGGACAGCTACTGGAGAAAAGCTTTACCATGAACATGCAACAAAAGTTTATTGAGATCTTTGATTCACAACAGAGGTTAATGATCAAGGCTCCATTATCCAAGAACGAAACATTCAAGGTGAAGCTAAATACCACTAAAATTCAGTGTCTATCTACTACTAGTGTGGAGGAAGAGAGTTGGCTATGATACTACAGATATGGTCACTTGAATTTCAAGAGCCTAAATCAACTCTGTAGTAGAAAGGTGGTGAGTGGATTGTCAAAGATCAAGCTACTAGCCAAGGTCTGTGAAGGTTGTGTGATTGGAAAACAACCTAGAAAGGCTTTTAAGACCACTGCACCGAAAAAGGTCAAGAAGATATTGGAGGTTGTGCATTTGGATGTGTGTGGTCCTTTAGACACACTTACACTAGGAGAAAATAGATATTTCCTCACCTTTGTGGATGAGTTTTCAAGGAAAATCTGGATCTATCTGCTGAAAGAAAAGGGAGATGTGTTTTCTGCATGTGTGAAATTTTGTACAATAGTTGAGAGGCAATCCGAGAAGAAGGTGAAAACATATGAATGTGCAAAGTATAGGTCCAAGGAGTTTGACAGTTTTGTGAAAAGAAAGGGATAGTGCATGAGGTAACTGCACCATATACACCCCAACACAATAGGTTGGCTGAGAGGAGAAATAGGACACTGGTTGATATGACAAGATGTATGTTGAAAGGAAAGAATTTGTCACATTGTTATTGGGGAGAGGCAGTTACTACTGCTGCCTACATCCTCAACAGGTGCCCTATGAAGCGGATGGAGACAGTAACACTAGAGGAGGTATGGTCTGGTGTTAAGTCATTCGTGCAACACTTAAAGGTGTTCAGATCTATCTGCCACAGACACATCCCAGATGAAAGAAGGAAGAAGTTGGATGATAAAAGTGAGCCTTTAATCTTGATAGGATATCACCCAACTGGTGTTAAGCCATCCATGCAACACTTAAAGGTGTTCGGATCTATCTGCCATAGACGCATCCTAGATGAAAGAAGGAAGAAGTTAGATGATAAAAACAAGCATTTAATCCTGATATGGTATCACCCAATAGGAGCCTACAAGTTGTATGATCCAGAAAAGAAGCAAGTAGTAATCAACAGAGACGTTATGGTGGATGAGTCAGCCTCGTGGAGTTAGAAGGAAGATAGTGACCCTATGACAAATCTTTCATGTATTCT